GATGGCGGCGCGCATAATTAAGGCGGCGAGATGGAGATGAGGGTGGGTGACGGTGGGTGGGAGGCGGAATTATAGAGGCCTCTGTTTGTCTTCCACCACCGCACTGATTGATTGGTGATCATTTATTTAAGAAGAAATGGCACCAGCGACGACAGAGGCTTAAGGGTCTAAACCACTGCAGGAGAGGGAGTTAGAGAGAGAGAGAACGAGAGAGAGAACGAGAGAGAGAGAGAGAGAGAGAGAACGAGAGAGAGAGAGAGAGAACGAGAGAGAGAGAGAGAGAACGAGAGAGAGAGAGAGAGAGAGAACGAGAGAGAGAGAGAGAACGAGAGAGAGAGAGAGGGAGAACGAGAGAGAGAGAGAGCGAGAGTTGAGTGAGTGAGTGAATTTGAGTTGTTCTCTGCCACTTATGGCCCAATGTCTCTGTTTAGTGTTCCATGTCCTGTGTTTGATTCTCTGATCAGTGTTGGCAAATCAACAACTTTAAAACTCAAATCATTCTATCCAAACACAGTGGTGATCAACTGTAGCCGCAACTGCCCTGGGGCACAGAAGAGAGGCAACCAGTCTGTGCCATCGGCCCCTCTGACCTCTAAAATACAGTCTTTAATGTTTGAATTATGTCTATATAAATATCATATATATTAAAAAAAAAAAATTGTCCACTCACCTTTGGCCCTCCGCGGGCGGTTATCCCTCTCTAAGCTCGGGGCCTCTACAGAGGCCTGGGAGCCTGAGGGTTCAGTATCTTTGCTGTTCCTAGCACTGCACATTTCTGGACCGAGATGTCCGAGGTTGTTCCAGGATCTGCTGTAACCTCCTCCAGGTTCGGGGTCACTGCCCCGAGTGCACCGATCACCACGGGCACTACTGTCACCTTTACCCTCCAGGCCCTCATATATATATATATATATATATATATATATATATATTTATATCACCACCAGGATCTACAGCCATGACATCGGGATGTCATTCAAACTCGAGAAATGTAGCAGGATAGTGACTTGGAGAGGCAAGGTAGTCCACACAGACGGGATCTCACTCCCAGAGGGAACAATAGCAGACGTTGAGGACAGTTACAAGTATCTCGGTATACCACAGTATCTCGGTACACCACAGTATCTTGGTATACCACAGTATCTCGGTACACCACAGTATCTTGGTATACCACAGTATCTCGGTACACCACAGTATCTCGGTATACCACAGGCAAATGGCAACCTCGAACAGGTGACGAGGAAAGAGGCAACTGCCAAATACCTCCAGCGAGTAAGGCAGGTCCTAAGAAGCCGGCTCAATGGCAAGAACAAGGCCCGGGCAATTAACAGCTACGCCCTGCCAGTGATCAGATACCCTGCAGGAATAATCACGTGGCCAAAGGAAGAGATTCAGACCACGGATGTTAAAACTCGAAAGCTCCTTACCATGCATGGCGGGTTCCATCCCAAATCCAGCACCCTGAGACTGTACGTAAGCCGTAAAGAAGGAGGCCGAGGACTAGTGCGTGTGAGAGCCACTGTCCAGGACCAAACATCCAGACTCCATAACTACATCATGGAGAAGGCCAAAACGGATGACGTACTCAGTGAATGTCTCAGGCAGTGGCGAGATGAGGAGGTGCTGGAGGAGAGCCCATCATGGGAGAACAAGCCCCTACACGGCATGTACCACCGGAGCATAACAGAAGTGGCTGATCTCAAGAAGTCCTACCAATGGCTAGAAAGGGCTGGCCTACAGGACAACACCAGACAAGACCCAAGGTGTCGGTTGTGCAAAGAGCCACCTGAGACGATCCAACACATAACTGCAGGGTGCAAGATGCTGCAGGGAAGGCCTACATGGAACGCCATAACCAAGTGGCTGCATAGTGTACAGAAACATCTGTGCAGAGTATGGGCTGGAAACCCCAAGGTCTAAGAAACTCCTCCAAAGGTGGTGGAGAATGAGCAAAGATCCTGTGGGACTTCCAGATACAGACCGACCGAATGGTAATGAACCAACCTGACATTGTGGTGGCGGACAAAGGGCAGAGGACAGCCGTGGTGGTGGACAAAGGGCAGAGGACAGTCGTGGTGGTGGACAAAGGGCAGAGGACAGTCGTGGTGGTGGACAAAGGGCAGAGGACAGTCGTGGTGGTGGACAAAGGGCAGAGGACAGCCGTGGTGGTGGACAAAGGGCAGAGGACAGCCGTGGTGGTGGACAAAGGGCAGAGGACAGCCGTGGTGGTGGACAAAGGGCAGAGGACAGCCGTGGTGGTGGACAAAGGGCAGAGGACAGCCGTGGTGGTGGACGTGGCAATTCCAAGCGATGGTAACATCCGAAAAAAGAACATGAAAAGCTTGAGAAATACCAAGGTCTCAGAGAGGAGCTGGAGAGGGCCTGGAGGGTAAAGGTCACAGTAGTGAGAGGGCCTGGAGGGTAAAGGTGACAGTAGTGAGAGGGCCTGGAGGGTAAAGGTCACAGTAGTGAGAGGGCCTGGAGGGTAAAGGTGACAGTAGTGAGAGGGCCTGGAGGGTAAAGGTCACAGTAGTGAGAGGGCCTGGAGGGTAAAGGTCACAGTAGTGAGAGGGCCTGGAGGGTAAAGGTCACAGTAGTGAGAGGGCCTGGAGGGTAAAGGTCACAGTAGTGAGAGGGCCTGGAGGGTAAAGGTCACAGTAGTGAGAGGGCCTGGAGGGTAAAGGTGACAGTAGTGAGAGGGCCTGGAGGGTAAAGGTCACAGTAGTGAGAGGGCCTGGAGGATAAAGGTCACAGTAGTGAGAGGGCCTGGAGGGTAAAGGTCACAGTAGTGAGAGGGCATGGAGGGTAAAGGTCACAGTAGTGAGAGGGCCTGGAGGGTAAAGGTCACAGTAGTGAGAGGGCCTGGAGGGTAAAGGTCACAGTAGTAAGAGGGCCTGGAGGGTAAAGGTCACAGTAGTGAGAGGGCCTGGAGGGTAAAGGTCACAGTAGTGAGAGGGCCTGGAGGGTAAAGGTCACAGTAGTGAGAGGGCCTGGAGGGTAAAGGTCACAGTAGTGCCCGTGGTGATCGGTGCACTCGGGGCAGTGACCCCGAACCTGGAGGAGGTTACATCAGATCCTGGAACAACCTCGGACATCTGGGTCCAGAAATGTGCAGTGCTAGGAACAGCAAAGATACTGAACCCTCAGGCTCCCAGGCCTCTGTAGAGGCCCCGAGCTTAGAGAGGGATAACCTCCCGCGGAGGGCCAAAGGTGAGAATTATTATAATTGTTTTTATATATTTAGGGCCATTTCAAAAGTGGGTCAGGACCTCTGATTGAGAAGCAGGCCTCAAACTTGCTGCTGATCGATGCGTGGCCTGATTCTTAAACTGATGGATCCAGAATGTTCCCTGGAGTCACAAACAAAACCAAATATAAATTACCCCAGTTAAGGCTCGGGCCTAATAAATAGCTCTACGTCACAGACCATGGCCTGCGATGCATCAGCACCAAAACTAAGATGGTTTCTCTCTGGTGTCTCTCTCTGGTTCCTGCCTCTGGTCTCTCTCTGGTCTCTCTCTCTCTGGTGTCTCTCTCTGGTCTCTCTCTCTGGTGTCTGTTTCTGGTCTCTCTCTCTGGTGTCTCTGGTTTCTCTCCAGTCTCTCTCGTCTCTCCCCAATCTCTCCCCCATCTCTCCTCTGTTTCTCTCCCGTCTCTCTCCCATCTCTCCTCTGTCTCTCTCCCGTCTCTCCCCCATCTCTCTCCCGTCTCTCCCCCGTCTCTCTCCCATCTCTCCCCCATCTCTCCCCCGTCTCTCCCCCGTCTCTTCCCCGTCTCAAACCGATCAGCTGTGATTGATCCCGAACCCGCCTTGTCACTCACACAAACAAAAGCCCAAATCCAAACAAATAGCCCCGCGTCTCACAAACCTCTGCCCGCGATCCATCAGCACCGAAACGAAGACGCGTGACGGGTTTGGAGCTAATGGCGGCGGATTGATAATTTGCCGTTAAGAGGCTCCCGGGGGCCCCAAACCCCGGGTCGGCGCGAGATGTCATGTATTTCAATCAAAATCCAATCAGAAAATATGGCAATCTTAATCTTGGGAGCGTTTTATTATGTTTCCGCTGGGGCTCATCCGTCAGAGGGATGTGATTACGAGACGGGACCACGAGGAGCTGGAGGTGAACCGGTCCCACGGCCCACTGTCCTCTCCGCAGCCGTGAGGTCGTTAGTTTGAGACCGACAGGAGCCAGAGCAGTTTGTGTCCGGATCTGAGCCGAGAAAACCAGGCTCTGTAACAGGAGATCATTTAGTTTTACACCAGACGTCACAGAGGCGAGTGTCACTCTCTGGTCTCCCTCTGGTCTCCCTCTGGTCTCTCTCTGGATACTCTCTCTGGTCTCTCTCCCTCTGGTCACACTCCCTCTGGTCTCTCTTGCTTTGGTATCTTTCTCTGGTCTCTCTTTGGTCTCTCCCTGGTCCCTCTCTGGTCTCTCCGATCTCTCTGGTCTCTCTCTGGTCTCTTTCCGCTGTGTCTCTCTGGTTTCTCTTTGGTCCCTCTCTGGTCTCTCCGATCTCCCTGGTCTCTTCGATCTCTCTGGTCTCTTCGATCTCTCTGGTCTCTCTCTAGTCTCTCTGTTCTCTCAATGGTCTCTTTCTGTGTGTGTGTGTGTGTGTGTGTGTGTGTGTGTGTGTATCTCTGTCGTTTCTCTGTATATTATTTGTGTGTGTATGTGTATCTGTATGTATCTGTGTGTGTGTGTGTGTGTGTGTGTGTGTGTGTGTGTATGTGTATCTGTGTGTGTGTATGTGTATCTGTGTGTATCTCTGTGTGTCTCTGTATGTGTGTGTATCTGTGTGTATCTCTGTGTGTGTGTATCTGTGTGTATCGCTCTGTGTGTGTGTGTGTGTGTGTGTGTGTGTGTATCTCTGTGTGTCTCTGTATGTGTGTGTGTGTGTGTATCTCTGTATGTATCTCTGTGTGTGTATCTCTCTGTGTGTGTGAGATTGTTGGTTCTTCACACCACACTGCCTGTGTATTACGGTCTTGGTCTCACTTAGCTGTGACAGTAACAGAATGCGATGGGGAGAGCCGCGGTGTCATTAATCACCGAGTCGTGGACGTTTGTCGCGCGGCGGCCATTTTGAGTCCGACTCTGGCTCCGAGGTTTGGGCTGAACAGGAGCAGACGGGAAACCGGAGACAGAGAGTCCTGTTCAATCTATTCATTCACTACTGTCTGTTTTTAGACAGTACTAGTCTCTCACTCTAGTCTCACACTGGTCTCTCACTCTGGTCTCACACTGGTCTCTCACTCTGGTCTCACACTGGTCTCTCACTCTGGTGTCACACTGGTCTCTCACTCTGGTTTCTCACTCTGGTCTCACACTGGTCTCTCACTCTGGTCTCACACTACTGTCTCACTCTGGTGTCACACTGGTCTCTCACTCTATTTTGACACTACTGTCTCATTCTGGTCTCACACTGGTCTCTCACTCTGGTCTCTCACTCTGGTCTCTGTTTCATTCTGGTTTCACACCGGTCTCTCACTCTGGTTTCACACTGGTCTCTCACTGGTCTCTCTCTCTGGTCTCCCTCTCTAGTCTCTATGGGGCCAGTACAGGAGGCACATGCCAGACCTATTGTACATATTTTTAGTGGCAGGGGAAACCGGAGCACCCGGAGGAAACCTACGCAGACACGGGGAGAACATGCAAACTCCACTCAGAAAGGCCCTAGTCCAACCGGGATTCGAACCCAGGACCTTCTTGCTGAGAGGCGAGAGTGCTAGCACAACAGCATCATCTCAGAGACTGAACAAAACCATTGAAATCACCACAGATCAGAGAATCAACATTTAACACACAGAAAGAATATAGAACACATGTTGATAAATGTTAAAGTGTCCTGGATCATCCAATCCTTCTAGTTGGACACTAACTGTCCAACAGACTCCTGCATCAGAGGAAAAACTCTAACCCAGTGGGAAAAAGTGAGAAACCTCGGGGAGACCCAGTTTAGAAAGGGATCCGCTCCCACGGACGGACGGGCTGTAGATCCAGGACTCAGACTGTAGAACGAGGACTAAGGCTGTAGATCCAGCATTCTCTGCTTGTCTTTCAGATGCGTGGATAACTCTGCAAGTAGTTCCGGCCACTCTAGAGCTAGCCACGCTCAAAAAACGCAAATACCAATCAATCAACTCATTTAAATGTTAATTGGAGAATAATTTATACATATCCAGTCTTAATACAAGTGCACGGAAGTTTTCAGAATTTTCTGTTTACGTTTTCATGACAAAAACACTGACGTAATGCGAGAAAAGGCGATCCCAAAAAACCCGGAAGTAGATTCTGGGACATTTTAGGAACATTTGCAGAGGAGTTTCACGTCCAAATGTAGTCCGAGCGTAGATAGTCCGAGCGTAGATAGTCCGAGCGTAGATAGTCCGAGCGTAGATAGTCCGAGCGTAGATAGTCAGAGCGTAGATAGTCAGAGCGTAGATAGTCAGAGCGTAGATAGTCCGAGCGTAGATAGTCAGAGCGTAGATAGTCAGAGCGTAGATAGTCCGAGCGTAGATAGTCAGAGCGTAGATAGTCAGAGCGTAGATGGTCCGAGCGTAGATGGTCCGAGCGTAGATAGTCCGAGCGTAGATGGTCCGAGCGTAGATGGTCCGAGTGTAGATAGTCCGAGCGTAGATGGTCCGAGCGTAGATGGTCCGAGCGTAGATGGTCCGAGCGTAGATGGTCCGAGCGTAGATGGTCCGAGCGTAGATGGTCCGAGCGTAGATAGTCCGAGCGTAGATAGTCCGAGCGTAGATAGTCCGAGCATAGATAGTCCGAGCGTAGATAGTCCGAGCATAGATAGTCCGAGGGTAGATAGTCCGAGCGTAGATAGTCCGAGCGTAGATAGTCAGAGCGTAGACAGTCCGAACGTAGATAGTCCGAGCGTAGATAGTCCGAGCGTAGATGGTCCGAGCGTAGATGGTCCGAGCGTAGATAGTCCGAGCGTAGATAGTCCGAGCGTAGATAGTCCGAGCGTAGATAGTCCGAGCGTAGATAGTCAGAGCGTAGATAGTCAGAGCGTAGATAGTCCGAGCGTAGATAGTCAGAGCGTAGATAGTCAGAGCGTAGATAGTCCGAGCGTAGATAGTCAGAGCGTAGATAGTCAGAGCGTAGATAGTCAGAGCGTAGATGGTCCGAGCGTAGATGGTCCGAGCGTAGATAGTCCGAGCGTAGATGGTCCGAGCGTAGATGGTCCGAGCGTAGATAGTCCGAGCGTAGATAGTCCGAGCGTAGATGGTCCGAGCGTAGATGGTCCGAGCGTAGATGGTCCGAGCGTAGATAGTCCGAGCGTAGATAGTCCGAGCATAGATAGTCCGAGCGTAGATAGTCCGAGCATAGATAGTCCGAGGGTAGATAGTCCGAGCGTAGACAGTCCGAGCGTAGATAGTCCGAGCGTAGATGGTCCGAGCGTAGATGGTCCGAGCGTACATAGTCCGAGCGTAGATAGTCCGAGCGTAGATGGTCCGAGCGTAGATGGTCCGAGCGTAGATGGTCCGAGCGTAGATAGTCCGAGCGTAGATAGTCCGAGCGTAGATAGTCCGAGCGTAGATAGTCCGAGCATAGATAGTCCGAGGGTAGATAGTCCGAGCGTAGACAGTTCGAACGTAGACAGTCCGAGCGTAGACATTCCGAGCGTAGATAGTCCGAGCGTAGATAGTCCGAGCGTAGATGGTCCGAGCGTAGATGGTCCGAGCGTAGATGGTCCGAGCGTAGATGGTCCGAACCGTAGCTGGTCCGAGCGTAGATGGTCCGAGCGTAGATAGTCCGAGCGTAGATGGTCCGAGCGTAGATGGTCCGAGCGTAGATGGTCCGAGCGTAGATGGTCCGAGCGTAGATGGTCCGAGCGTAGATGGTCCGAGCGTAGATGGTCCGAGCATAGATAGTCCGAGCGTAGATAGTCCGAGCATAGATAGTCCGAGCGTAGATAGTCCGAGCGTAGATAGTCCGAGCGTAGATAGTCCGAGGGTAGATAGTCCGAGCGTAGATGGTCCGAAAGTAGATGGTCCGAGCGTAGATAGTCCGAGCGTAGATAGTCAGAGCGTAGATAGTCCGAGCGTAGATAGTCCGAGGGTAGATAGTCCGAGCGTAGATAGTCCAAAAGTAGATGGTCCGAGCGTAGATAGTCCGAGCGTAGATAGTCCGAGCGTAGATAGTCCGAGCGTAGATAGTCCGAGCGTAGATAGTCCGAGCGTAGATAGTCCGAGGGTAGATAGTCCGAGCGTAGATAGTCCGAGGCGGTCCCGCAGGTCTCTCCCTCAGACCAGTCTCTCCGGAGGATACGATGTAAGCTAGCTCTGTTCAGGGCTTGTTTTCTTCTTTGATCATGTTGTGGCTTTAGTTCCTCTTCTCTTCCTCACTGTTGTGTGGTTTGGGCTGTTTTGCTGTGTCTGCAGTTACAGCCAGAGGAGTTATAGCCACTTATGCTAACATGCTACTGTGTTTAGCAGCGCTGTAGAGGCTAGAGGACGCAGCCTCGTTCTGTGATTGGAGGAGAGCGGGCGTCACACTAAGTCTCTACTCAGCACTTTTCACGGCCTCAGTTCATACACAGCTGAATCAATGAGCTCAAATTAAGATTAAATTACAGATTATAATACAACTTGTTTGTAGTAACACGCATACAAGCCTCTTTAACCAGAGAGCTCATTCCATCTGCTACAGCTTCTTCCCCAAGCAACTGTGTCCCGCCATCTCTCTCTGATTCCTCTGTGATTGTTCCGGAGCCACTGGCCTGGTCCTTACAGAACTCTCACATTCTTGTCGACAGTGGCCCCACACAGAGCGCCACGGTCCCTGAGCGGCCGCCGTGTGGAGACGGACTCGCTCCGCCGGGTTTGTGATTGACACCGCAGTCTCTCCATCGCTGACACCCAGATGTGCTGCAGCATCTGGGCCCGGGATTATTCTGCTCCACTGTATCTACCGCCGCAGAGAGATGATGGGGGGGGGGGGGGGGGGGGGGGGGGGGGGGGGGGGGGGGAGAGAGGAGGAGAGAGGAGGGGAGAGAGGAGAGAGGAGGGAGAGAGAGGAGAGGAGAGAGGAGGGGAGAGAGGAAGGGAGAGAGGAGAGGAGAGAGGAGGGGAGAGAGGAGGGAGAGAGGAGGGAGAGAGGAGAGGAGAGAGGAGGGGAAAGAGAGAGAGGAGGGGGGGGGAGAGAGGAAGGGAGAGAGGAAGGAGAGAGAGGAGAGAGAGAGGGAGAGAGAGGGAGAGAGGAGAGGAGAGAGGAGAGGAGAGAGGAGGGGAGAGAAGAGGAGGGGAGGGGAGAGAGGAAGGGAGAGAGGAGAGGAGAGAGGAGGGGAGAGAGGAAGGGAGAGAGGAGAGGAGAGAGGAGGGGAGAGAAGAGGAGGGAGGGGGGGAGAGAGGAAGGGAGAGAGGAGAGGAGAGAGGAGGGGAGAGAAGAGGAGGGGAGGGGAGAGAGAGAGAGGAGAGAGGAGAGAGGGGAGGGGAGAGAAGAGGGGAGTGAGGAGGGGAGAGAGGAGAGGTGAGACGAAGGGAGAGAGTAGGGGAGAGGGGAGAAGAGAGGAGGGGGAGAGAGGAGGGGAGAGATGAGAGGAGAGAGGAGGGGAGAGAGGAGGGGAGAGAGGAAGGGAGAGAGGAAGGGAGAGAGGAGAGGAGAGAGAGGAGAGAGAGAGAGGAGGGAGAGAGGAGAGAGAGAGGAGAGGAGAGAGGAGAGGAGAGAGGAGGGGAGAGAGGAGAGAGAGAGAGGAGGGGAGAGAGGAGGGGAGAGAGGAGGGGAGAGAGGAAGGGAGAGAGGAGAGGAGAGAGGAGAGGAGAGAGGAGGGGAGAGAGGAGAGGTGAGAGGAAGGGAGAGAGGAGAGGAGAGAGGAGGGGAGAGAGGAGAGGAGAGAGGAAGGGAGAGAGGAGAGGAGAGAGGAGGGGAGAGAGGAAGGGAGAGAGGAGAGGAGAGAGGAGGGGAGAGAGGAAGGGAGAGAGGAAGGGAGAGAGGAGAGGAGAGAGCAGGGGAGAGAAGAGAGGAGGGGAGAGAGGAAGGGAGAGAGGAAGGGAGAGAGGAAGGGAGAGAGGAGAGGAGAGGGGGGGGGAGAAGAGAGGAGGGGAGGGGAGAGAGGAAGGGGAGAGAGGAAGGGAGAGAGGAGAGGAGAGAGGAGGGGAGAGAGGAAGAGAGAGAGGAGAGAGAGAGAGGAGAGGAGAGAGGAGGGGAGAGAAGAGGAGGGGAGGGGAGAGAGGAAGGGAGAGAGGAGAGGAGAGAGGAGGGGAGAGAGGAAGGGAGAGAGGAAGGGAGAGAGGAGAGGAGAGAGGAGGGGAGAGAAGAGGAGGGGAGGGGAGAGAAGAGAGGAGAGAGGAGAGAGGGGAGGGGAGAGAAGAGGAGAGTGAGGAGGGGAGAGAGGAGAGGTGAGACGAAGGGAGAGAGTAGGGGAGAGGGGAGAAGAGAGGAGGGGAGAGAGGAGGGGAGAGATGAGAGGAGAGAGGAGGGGAGAGAGGAGGGGAGAGAGGAAGGGAGAGAGGAGAGAGGAGGGGAGGGGAGAGAAGGGGAGAGAAGAGAGGAGAGAGGAGACAGGGGAGGGAAGAGAGGAGGGGAGAGAGGAAGGGAGAGAGAAGAGGAGAGAGGAGAGGAGAGAGGAGAGAGGGGAGGGGAGAGATGAGGGGACAGAGGAGAGACTGAAGCCGAGACTGAGAGGAGACCATAGACTGCATATAAACATCCTGTAAAGACGTTTTCCAGAGGTCAGAAGATGCTATATGTTAGCATTGGCTAATTCTCATTCCAGGTCCACCCCCACAGGCCCGGGGTGGTATTGCAGCATGTCAGCGCACGTCAATTTGGCCACTTTTGAGCCAGGACCCGCCCCCACTGGGTAAGACTGAAGCCGAGGAGAAAGACTGAAGCTGACAGGACCCATGATGCAATAGTTTTAATGAGGCTAGAACAGTGTGTGAGTGTAACACTAAGTTAAGCTTAGCACAGTTCACACAAAGAAACTCAAATTGGGAAATAAACAAGGAATAAAATCATGAATAATCACAGAAAAACAGAAATCTGTCAAAGAAGAAGCCTTTCTCAATCATCAGGAAGACTGTTCAGGTTAGTGCTGCAAAAGTCTGACTCTGGGACCAGCAGGAGGCCAGTCCCTGTGCTCCTCAGAGTCCCAGCAGGAGGCCAGTCCCTGTGCTCCTCAGAGTCCCAGCAGGAGCCCAGTCCCTGTGCTCCTCAGAGTCCCAGCAGGAGGCCAGTCCCTGTGCTCCTCAGAGTCCCAGCAGGAGCCCAGTCCCTGTGCTCCTCAGAGTCCCAGCAGGAGGCCAGTCCCTGTGCTCCTCAGAGTCCCAGCAAGAGGCCAGTCCCTTTGCTCCTCAAAATGTGTCCTCTGCATTTCACCCTTCGCTGCCTCTCAGGCCTCTCTATAAAGATCAGTGCTCTCTGTAGTGCTAATGGAGTGAGACCAGAGAGAGAGACCAGAGAGACCAGAGAGAGACCAGAGAGAGAGACCAGAGAGAGAGACCAGAGAGCGACCAAAGAGAGACTAGAGAGCGACCGAGATAGAGACCCGAGGGAGAGAGAGACCAGAGCTATAGGACTCATCTCTAGATGTTGATGCTTTTGTTCAGGACCAGAGTTGGGGGATTTTGCTTATTATACATTTATATGAGTGGTAGGTAAAACCGGAGCACCAGGAGGAAACCTAGGCAAACTGTTTGTCTGCCTAGGTTTCCTAAAAACATGCACAATAGATCTGAATGTAATGAGGGAGTGAATGGATGGTGTTTGGTCGGAGGTTTTGATGGTCCAGTGTGTTTGACGTCACTGTGAGGTGCCAGGATTGATGCTGGGCTGAAAAAGGCTCTATATAGATACAGATTACTTACTTATTTTTACCAATCAAACAAGCAATGAATATTAACTCCTGAAGCTGCTTTTAACCAAAGTATTTCAGCATAAAAAACACAGATTTACAGATTTACAGATGCATCCGCTGCTTCTGTCTCAGACCACAGCCTTCGCTAGAATAGTTTCTCCTCTTTCTGCCGGTTCCAGAGGACAGAGGTGAAGATGTCAAAGTCAGTCTGTGAAGTCCCGGCACTCGGTGTGAAAACCTGTGATATGTGACAGGTTTGTGTGTGTTTTTTATCCATATTTCTGGGACAAATGACGGCGGCGTGCGGACGTGTGACGTGTGGGAAGGCCCCGAGGACAGCGGCGGTGTCGAACAGGCTGCGTTCTGCTGCAAACGGCGGGACACAGCCTCAAAGTGACACCGTGATGCAAAACCGCTCTGACACCAAACCCTGCGTGTGTGTGTGTGTGTGTGTGTGTGTGTGTGTGTGTGTGTGTGTGTGTGTGTGTGTGTGTGTGTGTGTGTGTGTGTGTGTGTAGCCACAGACTCTGTCAATACAGCAGACGAGAGAGAGAGAATGTAGAGGTTTGGTTCAGGGTTGTGATTGTATGGATGGGTAATGTTGTGTGTGTGTGTGTGTGTGTGTGTTTATATATCCTCTATGAATGCCAAAGTTGTGTAGAGCCTGGAGAGAACAGAGAGAGATCAAAAAAGACATGAGGTAGTTCAGACGGAGACCAGAGAGAAAAGAGAGAGACTGGAGAGAGACCAGAGAGAGACCAAAGGGAGACTAGAGGGAAACTAGAGAGAGACAAAAGAGAGACCAGAGAGAGACCAGAGAGAGACCAGAGAGAGACGAGAGAGAGGCCAGAGAGAAGGAGACCAGAGAGAGACCAGAGAGAAGGAGATCAGAGAGAGACCAGAGAGAGACCAGAGAGTCCACAGTCTGAAACAAATTGATAAATTGATCTTGTGGTGCCGTCCAGCAAGAGGTCCTGGGTTCGACTCCCTGTTAGCATGGCTAGCTGCATGTTCTTCCTGTGTCTGCATAGGCCTGGTCTACTTTCTCATCCACTAAAGACATGGACCATGGGACTCTGGGTGAAAAGTACCAATAGCTGTTAAATGAAATTATTTTGATACATGAAAATCTTAATCAAATCCATGTTCGTGGCGTAACGAAAGAACACAATGTTTTCTTTGACAGACAACACACAGACAGGAGAACCTCTGCATAAGGACAACAATTATCCACGGAAAGTCTGTCTTTGTCTCCAACTCCACCAAAACTCTGACATCTAATTGGACAGAATCTGGAGGAGAGAGGATGGCGCCGCTCCTCTCCTCTGCACCTGACAGAGCTGCAGGCAGAGCGAGCTTTGGAGAACGCCCCGGGACATTCTGACTCAAATCAAATGTCTAACAAGGCAGCAACACTATCCCCAATCCACAGCCTCTCCCAGGGCTCCAGGGACCGCCTCCGTGGGCTGTCACCGGCCCCATTACGCAAGGCTTACAATGTGGATGCGGCGGGGGAAAAATAAATAAAAAAACATACACCACCTTTCCCCAGAGCATTCGCAAGGTCTTAATAAGTATTAGGCAGAAATGAAATGAATGAGGACAGATGTATGGACAGAGACAGGGGAGAGACGAGACGGAAGAGAGGGAGAGAGGACCCGAGGGAGAGAGAGAGGACCTGAGGGAGGGAGAGAGAGAGGACCTGAGGGAGAGAGAGAGAGAGCGCGAGAGAGGGGGACCTGAGGGAGAGAGAGAGGACCTGAGGGAGAGAGAGAGGACCTGAGGGAGAGAGAGAGAGAGCGAGAGAGGGGGACCTGAGGGAGAGAGAGAGAGAGACAGGGGACCTGAAGGAGGGAGAGAGAGAGAGAGGCCCTGAAGGAGAGAGAGAGAGAGGACCTGAGGGAGAGAGAGAGAGAGCGAGAGAGGGGGACCTGAGGGAGAGAGAGAGGACCTGAGGGAGTGAGAGAGAGAGAGAGAGAGAGAGGGGGACCTGAGGGAGAGAGAGAGAGAGACAGGGGACCTGAAGGAGAGAGAGAGAGAGAGAGAGAGGCCCTGAGGGAGAGAGAGAGGACCTGAGAGAGAGAGAAAGGGGGACCTGAGGGAGAGAGAGAGAGAAAGAGGGACCTGAGGGAGAGAGAGAGGACCTGAGAGAGAGAGAAAGGGGGACCTGAGGGAGAGAGAGAGGACCTGAGGGAGAGAGAGAGGATCTGAGGGAGAGAGAGAGGATCTGAAGGAGAGAGAGAGAGAGAGAGGGGGACCTGAGGGAGAGAGAGAGGACCCGAGGGAGAGAGAGAGAGAGAGAGGACCTGAGGGAGAGAGAGAGGACCCGAAGGAGAGAGAGAGAGAGAGAGGACCTGAGGGAGAGAGAGAGGACCCGAGGGAGAGAGAGAGAGAGAGAGGACCTGAGGGAGAGAGAGAGGACCCGAGGGAGAGAGAGAGAGAGAGAGGACCTGAGGGAGAGAGAGAGGACCCGAGGGAGAGAGAGAGAGAGAGAGGACTTGAGGGAGAGAGAGAGAGAGAGAGAGAGGGGATCTGAGGGAGAGAGAGAGAGAGAGAGAGAGGACCTGAGCGAGAGAGAGAGAGAGAGAGAGGACCTGAGAAAGAGAGAGAGAGGAGACATGAGGGAGAGAGAGAGAGGACCTGAGGGAGAGAGAGAGAGAAGACATGAGGGAGAGAGAGAGCAGATGAGGGAGAGAGAGAGAGAGAGAGGACCTCAGGGAGAGAGAGAGAGAGAGAGGACCTGAGAAAGAGAGAGAGAGAGGACCTGAGGGAGAGAGAGAGAGCAGATGAGGGAAAGAGAGAGAGGACCTGAGGGAGGGAGAGAGAGAGATAGAGAGAGGACCTGAGAAAGAGAGAGAGAGAGAAGACATGAGGGAGAGAGAGAAAGAGAGGACCTGAGCGAGAGAGAGAGAGAGAGAGGACCTGAGAAAGAGAGAGAGAGAGGACCTGAGGGAGAGAGAGAGGGAAGACATGAGGGAGAGAGAGAGAGAGAGAGGACATGAGGGAGAGAGAGAGAGAGACCTGTACCAGTGCCCATGTGTTCTCTATTCCTTGTGTTTGAACGGTTGATGTTCTAATCTGTGTCGACCTGTGAGATACTGTTGTGATTTAAGACGGTACAAGAACACATCTAACCCAAACCACAATAACGAGGCCTCGTGCTGCAGCCGAAGCCAATAGGAAAGCAGGTGAATAGCAATGAACAAGCTACAGCTGAAGTCATAATGATGTTTCTCCTCGGGGCTCAAACCCTCTTGAACCAAAAAACCCAATTTTAAAATAAATTATCCGATTGGGGTTCGTATAAAAGTGGTGAAATATATCTATACATATAATTTTAAACATATTTTGGGGTTTATATTAGCTTTATTTGACAAGAGTTTGGATGTCATTCTGGTGTAGGCCTGGGCTTTCGTTTGGATTCAACCTTAACTGGGCCAAATATCAAGAACAGATGTTTTGGAGAACTGAAAACAAACAAATAATTGTCTTAACTCAACTTCGAATGACCTTTTAGTTAAGATTGAGACAGAGTTAATTTATTGTTTGTTTGTCGGCTTTAAAATACGGCAAACCATCAGTGCTGCGGTGATGATGATAATCGTTCAATCAGAGGCCACTAACATTGGTGTTGCGGGCCGGAGTTTGCCCGCGGGCCTGAGTTTGTCCACGGGCCTGAGTTTGCCCACGGGCCTGAGTTTGCCCACGGGCCGGAGTTTGCCCACGGGCCGGAGTTTGCCCACGGGCCGGAGTTTGCCCACGGCCTGAGTTTGCCCACGGGCCGGAGTTTGCCCACGGCCTGAGTTTGCCCGCGGGCCGGAGTTTGCCCGCGGGCCTGAGTTTGTCCACGGGCCTGAGTTTGCCCACGGGCCTGAGTTTGCCCACGGGCCGGAGTTTGCCCACGGGCCGGAGTTTGCCCACGGGCCGGAGTTTGCCCACGGCCTGAGTTTGCCCACGGGCTGGAGTTTGCCCACGGCCTGAGTTTGCCCGCGGGCCGGAGTTTGCCCGTGGCCTGAGTTTGCCCACGGGCCGGAGTTTGCCCACGTGCCGGAGTTTGCCCACGGCCTGAGTTTGCCCATGGGCCGGAGTTTGCCCGTGGCCTAAGTTTGCCCACGGGCCGGAGTTTGCCCACGGGCCTGAGTTTGCCCACGGGCCTGAGTTTGCCCACGGGCCTGAGTTTTCCCACGGGCCGGAGTTTGCCATACCTGCTCCTGAACATTGAACCCAAATAATCAAACAGCAATAACTACACTGCAAAAAGTGATACAATATAAGGTGATAAAGCTTAAATCAAGTGTTTTTTGTCTTCATCTGAGTACATTTTGACAATCTATAACCAAGATTTTCCAGTGGGACAAACAAAAATAACTTGTTTTAAAAAGATATAACACAATTCAAGAAATGTCTCCCTTGGAATTGGCATAAATCGCAAAAACACTTGAAACCAGACAAAGTGGCTTCTTCCGTTGTTTTAGAAAAGTCCAAATATCCTCAAAATAATATAAACAAGCCTTTGATTCACCTTATATTGTGTCACTTTTTGCAGTGTACATGACGCCGACAACCGCACATCGTCTTCTAAAAGGGTCTTACACATGTATACCCCCGGCTTCATGGCGACAGCTGACGGCTAAACGCGGCGCTCCAGAGGTACTTGCTGTAATTCCAGACTTTATTTAGTATTTTGTGTTTTTCCGGCTGGGCTTGGCTCGCTCCCAGGCAGCAGATTGGGACTGTCTCTGGCGCTGCGTTCACAGATGGAGCTGCATTTCTTCCCGAGGAGGTCTGACGGGGCCCATCCAAAACCTCATTCGCTCGCAGTCAATTAAGCCGTGTTAGTTTTGACAGCAGCCTCCGGCGAAATAACAACCGTCAGTGTCACCGCGGCGAGCCCCGGGAAGAAATATTGTGACCAAGCGGAGAAAGAAAGTAGTGTTTACTGTAGGGTGACTGAGCAGGGAGAGAGAGGTGGTGACGGAGAGGCCACGGAGAGACCGAATACGGCTGTTCAATATCTACGGGATATGATTAATCTATCAAAAATAATATGTTTAACTATACAGCATTTTTCCAGACAATTACAATTTTGTTAAATCCCATTCCCTCCACACAGAAGTGACACCTGGAGCATCGAAACCTCCAACCATTGCGATTCTTCTCCCATTACATCCACTTCTGTTGCACGTGATTTTATCGGTATGAGAACCCGGAGCACCTGGAGGACATTTATGCCGACATTGAGATTCGGAACCACAGACTTTCTCAACAACTTGACGTGTATGAATAGAGAATCAAACGGTTTGGAATGAAAAGGAGCTGCCGTTGTGTCCTTGGGCAAGACACTTAACCCCACTTTGCCTGGAGCCCCCGCTGAAAAATCAAGGCTATGCTCTCACCGAGTAGAGCAGCCTCCTGTGGACTCACCATCGGCAGGAGGATCAGTGAGAGGCTGGTTCTCTGTGGACTGGGGGTAGCTCTGACTGCCACCTCCCCCCTGACCCAGACATGGACAAAGGGGAAGAACATGGATGGACACAGGAGATATCGGTTCTTAGCCTTAAATCCCCCGGCATCGGCAAGGAACCACTCAAAAAAACACTTCCCCAGTCTCTACAAATGTTAGAGTCTGTGGACAACTTCAATCCCAACTTCAATCCCAACTCAAGACCCTTTAAGTAAGTAA